ATTAGGGTCCAATTTAAAAGTTAAATTTCATCATTTACAAACTTTTAGAGACAAAATTATTATAAAGGGAAGTGTTAAAACATATAGGAATTATTTAAATTGGATTAACCTGCCAAAAAAGGTAAGCGATTTGATGATGTTTATTGATTTATTTCTTGTCTTTGTCATATTGAATTTTATGCACGAATGGCTGATACTAAAAAATAACAAAAAACAACAAACAAGGTAATATACCTTCGGGAAATAATTCTAACATAACCTTGGTTGCTATCAGAGGATAGTAGACTATTTTACAGCCTGAAGGGCACAAATTAGGTCTGAATGACCAAAAAATTGCCGTGAATTAGTGTCAGGAAGTTCCCAACAGTTTGATGATTTCTTTTCAAAACATTGTTTGACGATATTTTAACTTTTCTAATTATGTTTGCCAAAAACGTACTAATTTATTTTCAGAACAGATAATTTTTGTTTCATGAAAAGTTAAAGCTGTCTGACTGATTTTAGATTTGGGTCAATGGCAGACAAAGAAAAGGCCAAGAGCAATGTTAGTTTGGGCGGAAATTATTCACTATGCAATAAACAACACGAGGGCGGAAGAAAACAAGAACATCGATTGGAAAGCTTCTTGAAATGGGGAGAAAACATTTTAACTACTTTTTCTCAATACATCAAAGTGTGGCTGCGGCAAGACGACAACGATGATGAATCGTACAAGTTTATGCGGGTTGCGTCCCTTACTGATCTGTGTGCCATTTGTAACCCATTGCGAAAGTCAGTGGAAAAAAGGCGGACAAATAATTTTTGCATTTATTGCTTTTCATTGCAAGCCCAAAGAGGTATTTATTATTCCCCAACATAGTACTATTATCGTTTGACAACTTGTATATGTAATTATGCTGTATTCATGTATTTTATATCGGTTTTTGATGATTTAAATATTGCGAATTGTGAAGTGTTCCGAATATCAATTTTGCTATTTGTGCTGAAATGTTAAATTCTAAGAAGTTTCATTTTATACTATATTTCAGTTTGACGGAACATTTAAGAACAATTAACCAGAATATTTGAGAATAAAATATATATCAAAACTTTCTCAGTTTCTGTACTTCTCTTGGGCTGCTACAACTATTACACTAAGGTTTTGAGGTTCATGCAAAACACATGGAAGAACTTTAAAATACTGTCCACGGAATTCAGACAGAATTAAACTTAAAAAGATAAGTGCCAACAGCATCAACTTCTGGTAAAAATGTTAACGTACCACCAAAAAAGAAATCTTGAGTAGAAATTGTCACATCAGAATATGCAATACTGGTGATGAACTAGTAATAGAGATGATAGTTGAAATGAGGACAAGGTGGATATGATACAGGACATAGATGCATTCTTTGATAAAGAATCTATATGTGGGGACAATATTGAACATGTTGCCCTAGCTGAAGTTATCAACAAAAGTCTAAGGTGTCCTTAAACTGACCAGGAGAAAATTAAAAAACTTTAAGATAAATACAAAAGAACTGGCAATATAGATAATTTGAAAGGAACAAAGGTAGAAAAATTTCTTTGGGAGCAGTTGAAAACACATACAAAAACCCAAGATGTCCAAAAGCAAAAAAATGCTGGGAGTTTTGAACCAATCAATGGTGCCCCTGCTTTGTGCAATGGATCATGTAGTTGGCAATAAAACGTGAGACAACAGTACATTAAAAACATACATAAATGATGAGGAAAAGATCATTTCAGAAGACAAAATAAACCAACAAAGACGTGAGGCCATCAAAAAAGAAGTCTTCCACTGATTTAAATCTTTATGCACAGATGACCAACCAATTTCGAAAAAGGGGCATATTATTTTGTCAAAATGCTTGATACAGTTACATGGGTGGAAGTTGGAAATCTTGTGAATCCTGAAAATTTAGGTTGGGGCCTTGGGGCCGCAAGGGCCCCCAGTGTGTCCAGGTCCAGGGGGTGAAGTCCCCTGGAAATTAGTGGTTTTGAGTGCTTGTACAGCGCTTTTCCAGAATTATATCATTGCCAAAGACTAACTTATTTTCATGCAGAGAATGCATCATTTTCTGTTAACAGCTTTTGCTCAAGGATATACCCTAAACATACTCTTTGATGTAATTTGGCATAATAAAAGAATTATACTTATATATCAGGTTCAAATAATGTTTGCTAATCTTATTGTTTGATATTGTCATGCTGTAACTGTTTGTCAAACGAACTTGGCTTAGTTTGGCGCAAATTGCACTTTAAAGTTACCTCCCTTGTTTTTTTTTGTATGCCCTGTTTGCAGAGAGAAATTCGTTTGAGAAACGTTTAATTTTAACGAGTAGGTTCAGAAGGCGATTGGAGGTAATATTACACATATTTAACCCATTACTCCACACAAGCGCTTGTCGACGCCTTTTACCATTCCCCCATGCAAGCGCCCAGGACGCCTTTTACCATTACTCCATGTAAGCGCTACACGACGCCTTATCGTTATCTCCATGTAAGCGCCACAGGACGCCGTTATTTTCAAATGCAATTTAATCATATTTACAATATAAATATTAGTTTAATTCTACCCGTTATTGATCTATTTACCTTTTATCAATCGATTTCCGGCAAAAAAACAACATGTTACTATTAAAAGATTTGCTTTAAATAGCGGCCAATCGAAAGAGGTATATCCCATATATCACGCGGTCAGGAACTGACGTATATTGGAAAAACACCTGCAGCCAAGTGCGATATGGTGTGTTGTGGGTAAAAATTTCAATTGAGAATGAGGTATTTCTTACCTAAATCAATCAAAACTATTGTTTCAATAAAAATCCCATAATTCACACAAAAGATTACAGTTCAAAGTTGAAAGGTAAAAAATATGGCCGCGCTCAATGAAAGTGACGATGATTCAATTTATGGCGAAGATTTCGAAGGTTTTGAGCCTTCAGATTTGATAACACATAGCTGCAGATCAGAGGAAAATGATTCAGATATCGAAGTAAGCTCAGTTAGCAGCGTAGAATCGCCTATTATGAGCGACGTATCTGACGAAGAAGACAACAACGATGAACAAACATGGACAGGAAATTTTACAAATTTTCCGGTAAGAAAATGAAAATAAAATTATGAATTCTACGAAAGAAATATGAAGTGTATTGTAAATTTGCAAAAGCAAATGAAGTTACAAAGTTTTTATTGCAAAAAAACATATCAGCATAATGTTATTGTACACACAAGATATTATACAAATTATTTTCAAAAATAGACATAGCCTATTTATAGACCTGACTTTCAGTTTCACTTTGTTATTTATTGTAGTATTTTTAGCCGAGATTTTGTGGCTTTTGTAAACATCATTTTGCAGAATATAATGTTTCTAATACTATATGTAAAATAACTGCTATAGTAAAATCTATATCCATTGTTGCTAAAACATTAGTAAGTTATATATAATATTTATTTTTTTTCCTTTTTAGATGGACGATTTCCAGGGTTCAACTGGTCCAAGGTTACCGGATACTATTGATGTCAACACTTCATCACCTCTTGATTTCTTCCTTCTGTTGTTTCACCCTGTAATGTTTTCAGACATGGCTAGACATACCAACAACTAGAGGATGCTTTTGTAAAAAAGCGCATGTCTCCCCCACTGCTGAGAATAACTGTGAATGGAAACAGGAATGGAAATGGAGATAAGATAATGTAAATACCCGGTAGTCACTTCAATGAAGGCTGTCTATGGATGGTTTCTATTGTTAAGGTTGTATGAGAAGATGCTTCCTAAACTGTTTGTTTTTAACCAGGTATTCAATTTTGAAAATCCTGGTTATTCAATCAGCGTATGGCAGACGGGCGTCAAACGAAATTGCACTTGATGGTCATATCATATATAGTTTCACAAATGAAATTAAATGAAATTGTGTCTGCTCCATAATTCTTCAAACCTTTAAAGGATTTTGATGATACTTGAAACAAACGTTCATATTGTCAGATTTTTTTACACTATTGAAAGACAACTCAAATTACAATGTATGTAAAATCATGATAACTGTAGTGTGTTGGGATGACTCCACTCGTTTTCACAATGAAGCCTCTCTGGTAGATACTTGAAACAAAAATTCACCACATCCAGAGAACGTGTAGAGTACATGTTTCGTATGGCTGGTTCCAAGGTCAAGGTCTACTTGACACTTGAATGTCATATCATATATAGTTTCACAAACGAAATTAAAGGAAATTGTGTCTGCTCCATAACTCTTCAACCCTTTGAAGGATTTTGATGATACTTGAAACAAACGTTCATATTGTCAGATTTTTTACACTATTGAAAGACAACTCAAATTTCAATGTATGTCAAATCATGATAACTGTGACCTTGACCTTTGACCTACTGACCCCAAAAACAATAGGGATCATCTGCTCTATAAGACCAATCATCCTATGAAGTTTGAGGGCTGTAGGTCAAAAGGAACTCTAGTTATCATCCGGAAACGAGAAATTGACCAACGATCACTGTGACCTTGACCTTTGAACTACTGACCCCAAAAACAATAGGGATCATCTGCTCAATAAGACCAATCATCCTATGAAGTTTGAGGTCTGTAGGTCTAAAGGAACTCTAGTTATCATCCGGAAACGAGAAATTGACCAACGGTCAGTGTGACCTTGACCTTTGACCTACTGACCCCAAAAACAATAGGGATCATCAGCTCTATAAGACCAATCATCCTATGAAGTTTGAGGGCTGTAGGTCAAAAGGAACTCTAGTTATCATCCGGAAACGAGAAATTGACCAACGGTCACTGTGACCTTGACCTTTGAACTACTGACCCCAAAAACAATAGGGATCATCTGCTCAATAAGACCATTCATCCTATGAAGTTTGAGAGCTGTAGGTCAAAAGGGACTCTAGTTATCGTCCGGAAACGAAGAATGGACGGACGGACTGACAGACGGACAGGGCAAAAACAATATGTCTCCCCCCGAGGTGGGGGAGACATAATTACGCTAGGTGGAAGGCTACCAACGGTGAACCTGATGACAAATGGGTAGACACTAACGAAAATGAAACGAGAGCTTTTGTTGGGATGAACATTCTAATGGCGATCAACTTTCTCCCGGAAGTTGATATGTATTGGTCTGCCAATTCATTCATTGGGAACTCCGGAATTCAGAATATAATGACTTGTAACAGATTTCAGAAACTTTGTCAGTACTTCCATGTTTCCAATCGTGACTTAGAACCAACGCGTGGACATCCTAATTATGATCGCCTATACAAGATTCGTCCGGTTGTTCAGCACATTTCAGACACATTCATTACTTGTTATGATCTTTCCCGTGAAGTAGCGGTGGATGAAGCAATGATTCGGTTTGCAGGAAAACTCTCATTTAGACAGTACATGCCCGCAAAACCGATTAAACGTGGAATCAAAGTGTGGATGTTATGTGATTCTAATACATCATATCTGTCAAAGTTTGAAGTTTATTTGGGTAAAAACACTTTGTGTAATGAAAACGGTCTTGGATATAATGTTGTTACTAAACTTACGGTTCACTTGAAACTAACTCACCGGCACATTTTCTTTGACAATTTTTTCACCAGTGTTCCTTTGATGAAAAAATTATTAAATGATGGACTATACGCATGTGGTACAGTACGTGTAAATAGGAAAGATTTTCCAAATGAGCTGAAAAAACCGCGTGATGTAAAAGACAGGGGACAATTCCAAGTGCTACAGAAAGGAAATACACCGCTTACTGCTTCTGTTTGGAAGGACAAAAAATTGGTACATCACCTGTCTACTCTTAGTCAACCAGACGATGTTGTTAGTGCTTCTCGCCGAGTAGGAGCAGATATCCTTCAGCTAAGGCAACCACAGTGTGTTTCTGCTTACAATAAGTATATGGGAGGTGTCGATCTTCATGATCAGTTGCGCACGAATTATGATGTTGGGAGAAATTCCAAGAAATGGTGGAAACACTTGTTTTGGTTTTTGATCAACTGCTGTATTCGTTAACGCCTTTATTATGTTCAAAATTAAATTCACCCGTATAAATAAGACAAGAGGGCCATGATGGCCCTGAAGTCGCTCACCTGTATATAGGCCTCCGGAGCGGGGCCAGTTTAAACCCCAGGGCTTTTATTTGAACAAACTTGGTAGACACCCATTAGAAGATGTTTCATGCTAAACATCTAAGGTCTAGCTGGTCAAGTTTTTTCTTTACACATATAGTTAAAAACAATGACACACCTTGGGCAGGGCCAGTTTTGACCCAAGGGCTTTTATTTGAACAATCTTTGTAGACACTTACTAGAAAATGTTTCACGCTTAATATCTAAACTCTAGCTATTCGGGTTTTTTCAAAGAAGTTTTTTAAGTTTTTGCTATACAAATATAAGGAAAATCAATGTCACCGGGGCGGGGGCCAATTTTGACCCCAGGGATTTTATTTGAACAAACTTTGTAGACACTCACTTGAAGATGCTTGGTGCTTAATATCTAAACTCTAGCTATTTGAGTTTTTTCAAAGAAGATTTTTTAAGTTTTTGTTATACACATATAAGGAAAATGAATGACCCCTGGAGCGGGGCCAATTTTGACCCCAGGTTTTTTATTTCAACAAACTTGGTAGACACTCACTAGAAGATGTTTCAAGCTTAGTATCTAAACTCTAGCTATTTGTTTTTTAAAAGAAGATTTTTTAAGTTTTTGCTATACACATATAAGAAAAATCAATGACCCCCGGGGCAGGGCCAATTTTGACCCCAGGGCTCTTATTTGAACAAACTTGGTAGACATCCATTAGAACATGTTTCATGCTTAATATCTTAGCTCTAGCTCTTTGGGTTCTTAAAAAGATTTTTTAAGTTTTTACTAAATGCATATAGGGAAAATCAATGAGCCCCTGGGGCGGGGCCAATTTTGACCCCAGGGCTTTTATTTGAACAAACTTGGTAGACACCCATTAGAGGATGTTTCATGCTAAATATTTTAGCTCTAGCTCTTTGGGTTCTTTATAAGAAGATTTTTTAAGTTTTTACTATATGCATATAGGGAAAATCAATGACCCCCTGGGGCCGGGCCAATTTTGACCCAAGGGCTTTTATTTGAACAAACTTGGTAGACACCCATTAGAGGATGTTTCATGCTAAATATCTTAGCTCTAGGTCTTTATCTATGTACAGTATGCAAAGAACATTTTAAGGGTCTTATGCCCCACCTCAGACGTCAGCATCAAAAGAAGATAACGTCAGACTAGTATTGCGCACTTCACGCAAATCACGTGAAACTAAGAGGAACAAGAGCTGTCGGTAGGACAGCAACGCTCGACTATTCTTAGTGCTTGATAGTAAAAAAAAATGCTTGATAGAGTTACCTCCTCCTGTTTACAGGTTGGGGTCATGATGGTGAACAAGTGTGCAAAGTTTCAAAGCAATATGTCAATGGACTTTGAAAATATTTGAACTATTACAAAAACTTTAACGTAAATTCTAAGTCGAAAAAGGGGCATAATTCTGTCAAAATGCTTGATAGAGTTACCTCCTCCTGTTTACAGGTTGGGGTCATGATGGTGAACAAGTGTGCAAAGTTTCAAAGCCATATGTCAATGGACTTTGAAAATATTTGAACTATTACAAAAACTTTAACGTAAATTCTAAGTCGAAAAAGGGGCATAATTCTGTCAAAATGCTTGATAGAGTTACCTCCTCCTGTTTCCAGGTTGGGGTCATGATGGTGAACAAGTGTGTAAAGTTTCAAAGCCATATGTCAATGGACTTTGAAAATATTTGAACTATTACAAAAACTTTAACGTAAATTCTAAGTCGAAAAAGGGGCATAATTTTGTCAAAATGCTTGATAGAGTTACCTCATCCTGTCTACAGGTTGGGGTCATGATGGTAAACAAGTGTGCAAAGTTTCAAAGCCATATGTCTATGGACTTTGAAAATATTTGAACTATTACAAAAACTTTAACATAAGTGGTTACGCCGACGCCGACGCTCGGGTGACTGCAATAGCTCTACTTATTCTTATCGAATAGTCGAGCTAAAAAGGAAACACCGTGGTCGATACTACAAAATATGCCCGAAAGAGAACTGCCCAAGCATAATCGTTGACGTGCCGCTTCATTTAGGAAGCAAGCACTCCATGACCAGTCAGGCATCAAGGCGTGAGTCAAGAAATGCATTGAGGATTGTAGACGCTAGGTGGCAGTTACCGCCGCGGAAAAACGATTTCTGTCAACCTTGGCAAGTAGAGAATTACCAGATCACGGCTGAGTTTGCTGACCCGTCAGAGGAACCGCATCAGGCTGATCCCGAGGAAAAGCCAGACCAACCACCAGAGTCGCATGAAGTTGAAACGGCCAGAGTTAAGGGTGCGGGGGAAGACGTTCAAAGTGACCGTCTGAGTCGATCTGTTGAAAGGCCTCAAATAGTTCGGAACTGGATAAGCTACCTAACCAGTGAGCTTGGTGGGTCGGTATGCATCGGTAGAGACAAGGAGTACACTGCACACGTGAAGAAGTACTTGTCATACTATTGCGCCGACAGAAGGCCGAAGGACATGCTTTTCTTTTGTACGCCCATGCATATGAAAGACTATTTCGAGGAGGAAGGGTCTGACAAGTGTCCACAGTGGAAACTTTGTGTGATTACCTTTGTTCAGGATTCAGAAAACCAAGTAAGAAATGCGCTGCAATCTTGTAATTTCGTTTATTTCACATCTACAAAGTTCATATAATTGTAGCTATGCGTAGCGTAGCGATTCTCAACAATGGTGTCCTGTCAATTTAATTAATTTCTTCAATCCTGAATATTTACTGTAATAATAATATTTTACATCAAATATCGCTACCGTTAATGTCTTCAAAAATAAACTTGTTTGTAATCTTTTTATGTAACTTCCGGAAAACTCTGCCGTCCGTGACGTCGCTAAAAAGGCGGCGACGTTAACGTGACGCGAGAGCTTTTAGCGCCAAAAAGTGAACAAATTAAAATTTTAAGAATGTTAATAATTCTTACAGTGCCCTCCATGAAATGTCTTAATTTCATCAAATAAGAATAGCACTTAAGCAAATTTTGTTTTCTCAAAATATCAATAATTTACTTATCAAATATATATGATTTGAAAATAATGTAGAAGAAAAACTAGTAAAAAAAAAAAATTAATACTAAAACGTTGTGTATATGTATCAAAAATGTATAAATCTACATACTTAATATTTTTTGTAAATGAAAATAAAAATAAATATTTAAAAAACAACCAATACTCATATATACGTAATTATTTTGAAAAATGTATAACATGACACAAATATAAATATCATCAAAGATTGCAATTTTTAAATTTTGCAATTATTATAATTTACAACCGCCATCTAGTCATGGTAAGAACATGCTCTTGCAAGAAGTACAATACATATTATAGTATATCAAATTCTTTTTTGGGTTGTTAAAATGTCTAATCCACGCGTAAAAAAAAAAAAAATAAATAAATAAAATTAAATTAAAGAAGGCTTTTGTACATCAGTAAATGTATTTTGACAAAATGTTAACGCAACTATTATTTACTCTGTGCCTTCTAAAAGACATAATTTTGTTATTGGTCTGAGGACATTTGAATTTCTTATACGGACAAGGCATTTGCGTACAAGCCCATCCCTACCCTTAAAAACCTCAGTTACTCTGCCAAGTGGCCACTGCCCTCGTGGAATGGTATCGTCTGCTACAAGTACGATGTCGTTCACTTTCATGTTTCTTGTTTCTCTCTGCCATTTTTGTCGGTTCTGAAGAGAAGGTAGGTACTCTTTGATCCATCTTTTCCAGAATACGTCACTCAAATATTGTATCTGTTTCCACCATTTTTTACTGTATACATCTTCTTTTTCAAAAACACCTCTTGGAATACTCGCATTACTTTTCATTAAAAGAAGCATATTTGGTGTGAGCGCTGGAAGATCTCTAGGGTCGCTACTCACGGAAGTGATTGGTCTATCATTTAGAATTCTTTCTGTTTCTGCGATGAAAGTGAGTAATTTCTCGTCTGTTAAAAGTTGTTCCTTGGCAAGAGCTTTCAAAATGGTGCGTGTAGATCTTATCATTCTCTCCCATGCCCCACCCATATTGCTCGCGTATGGTGGATTAAAGTGCCAGTCTACCTTATTCTGTAACAGATATCTGCCGATCTTAGACTGGTTCCACTCTTCTAAGGATTTCTTAAGTTCTTTGTCTCCACTAACTAAGTTGGTACCGTTGTCACTAAACATTTTCTCTGGTTGTCCACGTCTGCATGTAAAACGCTGGTAGGCAGCTATGAATGAATTTGTTGTCAAACTATGGGCTACTTCTATATGCACTGCTCTCGTTGTCAAGCAAGAAAACAGACAACCATATCTTTTAACGCTAGATCGACCTAATTTTACTATCAATGGTCCAAAGTAGTCCACTCCGACAAATGTAAACGGTGGTTTGCAAGGTGTCGTCTGCTCTGGGATAAGTGGCGCCATCTGTTGAGTGAGTAATGGACCTCTCTGTCGTTTACAAGCAATGCATTTTCCTATGGTCTTTTTAACAGCACTAGGACCACGTAAAATCCAAAATTTTGACCGTATTTCTGCTAGAACGTGTTGCCATCCTACATGTCCATTGCTGCTATGGCTATTGTGAATTATCAGCTCTGTCACGTGATCATTGTGGGGAAGAATTATAGGGGCTTTTTCATAGTCAGTGTAAATTTGTCTCCCAGACATTCGGATGAGTCCATTTTTCATCACAGGGTTAAGCATAGCTAATCTGCTGTTCTTTTTTACGGGGTTTCCTTTCAATAAGTCTTTTATTTCTTGTTGGAAATTGATTTTCTGTACATACCGAACAATTTCATGAGTAGCATTTTGTATCTCAGCTAGTTTGAGGTCTTCACAATTTTGTTCATTTTTATTTTGACTTCTGCAGTATGTCACAAACCTCTGTAACCAAGCAAACGCTCTTAGTAGTCTGTTCCAGTCTGAATAATGGTTGATAATGTCTCCTATAGTCAGCCCAGTGTATACCCCAGTGGTATTTATTGCTACGTCTCTTTTAATTTCGGAGTCGTCGTCGGCGATATCGTTTATGTTTACAAATTTAGGCCAAGTAGACTCGTCCTGCGCCAGATAGTCTGGTCCATTTAGCCAGAAAGAAATGCTAGTTTTATCGCCAGGATCTATGCCTCTTGATGCTATGTCAGCGGGGTTCGAACTGGAGTCGATATAGTGCCACTGTTCTGGACTCGTCATTTCATGAATATAACTAATTCTATTCCCGACGAAAGTCTTAAAACGTCTTGAAGTGTTATTTATGTATCCAAGAATGATCATTGAATCTGTCCAGAAAACAACTTTGTCAATTTTCAAATCAAGTTCTTCTTTCAGCATGGCATACAGGCGGCATGACACAACAGCTCCACACAGTTCGAGTCTCGGTATCGAAGCTTGTTTTATCGGGGCGAGTCGGGACTTGCCAAGCACTAAACAACATGCAGTATTATCATTTTCGTCAGTAATGCGTAAATATGCGCATGCGCCGTAACCCGTCTCAGAACCATCGCTGAACACGTGTAACTGTATATTTTTTAAAGTACTGAAATATTTTGGTTGAAAACAACGGCTTATTCGAACGTTTTCCAAACAAGGTAAGTTTAATATCCAACGTTGCCATTCATCGTGATCAATTTGCGGAATTGCTTCATCCCAACCAAATTTCCTTCTACACAAGCTTTGAACGATAGCCTTTGCTCGTAATGTCACTGGTGCTAAAAGTCCTAGTGGATCAAATATCGCACTAACTATGGAAAGCATTCCGCGTCTAGTTACAGGTTTATTTGTTTTCTTGATTTTGAATGTGATGAAATCGTCATTAACGTTCCAATTAATGCCTAATACACGATCATAAGGAAGTTCATCTTCGGGACTGAGGCTAACAATCGTTGGTGCACGTTCATAATCGGGAATTGTATCAATGACTGACCTACTGTTGCTGATCCACTTTGTAAGTCTAAAACCTCCCATTTTCATCAGTGACTGTAAATCCGCTGCTAACTTTGTCGCTTTCTCTTCTGAATCTACAGATTTCAGGCAATCATCGACATAGAAGTTTCTTTTAACAGTTTCTATAACTTCATCTGGAAATTTATTCGCGTTGTCACTGGCTGTTCTTCTTAATGCATAAGCTGCACAGCTAGGAGATGATGTGGCACCGAACAGATGCACCTGCATACAGTAAGTTTTAGGAAGTACAGACATGTCCCCATCAGGCCACCATAGGAACCGGAGTGCGTGACAGTCTTCTTCAATCACATGAACTTGATGGAACATAGCCTCTATATCAGCAGACAGAGCTATCTTTTTCTCACGAAATCTTAAAAGTACCCCTACTAAACTGTTCATTAAATCTGGACCTTGAAGGAGCTGGCTATTCAATGAAGTATCGTTGTATTTCGCGGCACAGTCAAATACCACACGAACCTTTCCTGGTTTGTTAACGTGCATCACAGGGTGGTGGGGTAAGTACCATATGCGCTTAGAGTTTGTACCGTTATTATCTACCTCTTTTGCATAACCTTTATTAATGTACTCACTAACCGTTTTGGTGTACATTTCATGTAAATATTTATCACGAGACAATTTGTGTTTAAGTTGATTCAAACGTGCATAGGCTAATGCTAAATTATTTGGTAAGTTTATATCGTCTGCACGCCAAGGTAATCCCATCTTATAGTGACCATCTACATATGAAAGGGATGATTCCATAATGTCCAACGCTCTTTTATCTTCAATGGACATTGACTCTTTATCGCAGAATTTAACATCGTTGAAGTCAGACGTCCACATACGCTCGAGCTGTTGTTGCAGTATTATGTCATTTGAATGACCAAAGTTTATATTTGCTCTGTTATGTTTTGTTCTGTTCTGTTCTACAAAAGGACGAGGGACTGGCCCACGAACTGCCCAACCAAGTCGTGTCCTTATAGCATATGGCTGATGACTGCTTCCAGAACGCACTTCAAGTGGAATATGTGCTTCGGGGAAATCTGTACCAATTAAAATCCGGACTTCATTAGCCTTTACTTTGGGAATTTGTAAATCGGACAAGTATGGAACGCCAATAATGTCATCACTTGTCACTGCAGAGCGGGTAGAGATAGGTAACTGTTTAACCGTCCAAACATTGTTAAGGTGAATTTCACCATTTCCAGAAACTGGGCAAACGCTGAGATCAACTTCCTGTCCACAAGTTGTACTTCCGGTCGAGCTAATGGTCGATATCTGGAAGGTGACAGGCCGGCTGGTCAGATGCAACTGCTGTATAAGACTTTCATCACAAAGCGTTTTGTCTGCTCCATCGTCGAGCAGAGCATAAGTTTGGCAAGAGTAACCGTTCCCACCCTTTACAGTTATAGGTATGATCCCTAGACAGGTTTTAGCAAATGAACCATTAACTGCCGCACAATTAACAGAAGGTTGGGTTATTGAATTATCGGGACGCTTTGGGGACCAATTGTGTAAAAGAAAATGGTGTTTAGTGGTACAATCAGACACAGTGCATAATTTATCCCGCCTACATTTGCGTGACATATGATTGGGTTTGAGGCAATTGAAACACAATTTAGATTTTATGACAAACCTGTTCCTATCTTCTAAAGACAATTTTCTAAATTTATCACATAAAGATAAATTCGAACATGTACCTGAACAACAAAAACATTTTCTACTGTATTTTGACGTTTGGTTTTCTGTGTATGTAGACAGAGTAGTTATTTTACCTTTTGTGGTATTTCCTGACGCAGACGCTTTATTTTCTCGGACATTTTCTTTTACAACATCAATGCCGTAAACTGAACTAGCAACACGTGACCTTTCATCAATAAATTTGGTCAATTCAAAGAAATTAGGTTCTCTCCCTGACTCAAAAATAGAGTGGGCTACCTCTGCCCATCTTGATCTCAAATGCATAGGGAGACGTCTTACAATGCGCCTTAAATTCTCAGAGTTATCTACGTCAGAAACAAACCCTAGTTGTGAAAGTGTCATTTGACATTTTTGCATATCTAAAGCTAATTGAGACAATCCTTTAACATCAGATGCATTAATATTAGGGCCAAGCAACAATTTATCAATATGACTTCTCGCAACAACATGTGGCCTACCATAACGAGATTGCAAAATTGATTTAGCTCGGTTATACCCTACATTTGAATCCAATAACACACAATCTTCTATGCAAGATTTTGCCTCACCAGTGCAATATTGTATTAGATAACTTAATCTTAACCTATTGTCACTTACTTTGCACTCAATGTTGGTCTCAAAATTTTTAATGAACTTACAATAATCAAGCGCAGAACCGTTGAATGTCAGTAACTCTGGTTTTGGTAAATTAAATCCTTCTTGAATGATTGATGCAAGTCGTTCCACTTCTAAACCGGAAGCGCTATTTCCGCCATCTTGCTGCGTTACATCTTCGAACTTACGTGCGTCTGCAGCCTCGTGATCTTTACCGGGACAAGCACGAGAATAACGTGCCGTATTGCTATCGGCTACATTATCATTTCGATAAGTATGTCCAAAATCCATAGTTTTCTGCACAATATGCCCATCTTCTAATATGTCGTCTGCTTCTATCACCGTGCTTTCGTCTGCCCACATTGACTCCTCCAGCCTCGCTTCCATCACAGCACTTTCTTGATCCAGTAGTTGCGATTTATCTTTGAGCTCCTTCTGTATTGCCTCTAATCGCAGTTTCTCCTTCTCCAAAGCTTGTTTTTCTTTAAGAGTCTTAAGTTTTTGTTCAGCTATCAGACGCTTAACTTTTGCGTTTCTTAGCCGAGTTGTTGATGAAACTGCACTACTGGGTATTGATGCTACGGGATTCCATTCGGCATATCTTTCCTTGAATTCTATAAAGTTCGCTCGGCAACTTTCAAAGTTCTTCTTTAGTGTTTCTATAGTTTTAGGATCGTCGCAAAAGTCTAAACATTCAAAGTGTGTTGTTTTAAATTTTTCGTATCTTTCGCACAGTCGATTAAACAATTCTTTTACTTTTTGCTCATTTTCAGTGGTTAACATCAACTCTTCAAGTTCTCTATAAATCTTGGTTAACTGTGCCAAATGCGCTGTCCGCGATTTCCGTGCAGTATCGTAGTCCATTATTTTCTTTTAGCGATATATAGTCGACAATGTTGAGAATTGTTCAGGATTCAGAAAACCAAGTAAGAAATGCGCTGCAATCTTGTAATTTCGTTTATTTCACATCTACAAAGTTCATATAATTGTAGCTATGCGTAGCGTAGCGATTCTCAACAATGGTGTCCTGTCAATTTAATTAATTTCTTCAATCCTGAATATTTACTGTAATAATAATATTTTACATCAAATATCGCTACCGTTAATGTCTTCAAAAATAAACTTGTTTGTAATCTTTTTATGTAACTTCCGGAAAACTCTGCCGTCCATGACGTCGCTAAAAAGGCGGCGACGTTAACGTGACGCGAGAGCTTTAAGCGCCAAAAAGTGAACAAATTAAAATTTTAAGAATGTTAATAATTCTTACAACCTTCTTGACAAAATTTCTACTGTACTTGGAAGAACGCTCGCATGCACCATCGGGATTCTCCACTCAATTTAAGACGAATATGAAGGGTTTGTGCCACATAATCAGTAAAGCTCAAACCAGAAACCGGATCAAGAAAATGACAGAAAAAAGACAGACAGTCATGACGGTGGACATAAAAGAGTTCATTGATTGCCCTGAGAGATGAGAGGCCATACGTTCCTTGGGGGAAATGCCACATGAAAACGATAACTTTGCTTCCCATCGAAAATACCTTATAGCGTCGTTATTGTTGAATTCTGGAGCCAGAACTGGTGTTATCAAGAACATGACTATGCAAGAAGTTCAAAATGCTGAAAAAGTGGAGATAGAACAAAGTGATGGAACTACTAAGACGTACTTTGTCGTAAGTGTGACGAGCCACAAGACATGCTACCAAGGGCCAGTGCAGGTGCCCATGTCAAATAGAGAATACAAAGCACTGAAGAACGTGTGCGAGATCATGGAAATGAAGCACAATGGAGCAACTCATCCATTTGTGACAAGTGAGGGGACACCCTTTACCACCTCTAGAGTGTCAAGGGAATGGGCAACAGCCTCGTGTGATTCAGGTATGCTGCAAAAGTACGCCGACAGACAACAGGAAACATGTAATTTCCCATATGCTAAAATGCTATCCAGAAATGCGGGAACAAATTTCAAAACAGATGAAGCACTCGTTGCAAACAGAGAGGACTTTTTACGACCTTTCAACCGGGGCTGACATCTCGATAGATATTCTTCGGAAGCGAATGAACAGTTGTGAAACTTCTACACTAATTCGCCCACAACCAGTTTGGTCTACAGTAACCATTCCCGTCCCTGCTCCTAGAGATTTACAGGATGAAATCCCTGACTCGACAGAGAAGGTTACCAGCTGGATGGAAAACATTCCCTGCTCACCTATTGAACCAGAACCGGAAATCGATCCTGCCCACACTGACATGACAGACTCTGGAAATAGAATAGTTATCTCACAGTCATTGTTCACGTCCGTGTCTGAAAGAGACTATGGCAAGTTTGGGAGGCGTAACCGACGTGTATGGAGTACAGATGCAGAGCGTGAATTTAGTCATATTTGGAAATTGAATTAAGTGTTGCCCTGAAGAAGAAACCAACATTGTCAATTGTGAGACATAAGCTTTATTCAAGTTCTGAAGTGAGACAAAAGTATGCTGACTTAAGTGACGAAAATATCAAGGACAAAATTTGGAATTTAGCCAAAAGAGAAATGTGTAAAAAGTAATATGTGGTTGATCATTGTGTAAAAAAACTGGACATCATATTTGAAAAAAAAAAGAAAATAAAAAAGTTTTAAAAAAATCAAAAAATAGTAAAAAAATTATGTGATTTTTGTTTTAATTTTTGTACATAACTTGATTATTATACATTGTTGAATTATTGTAAATTAATGATTTTTTTTTTTTTATTTAAAAGAATTAAGAAATAGTAAAAAAAAACATTCAGTGATTTTTGTTTTAATTGTTGTAAATAATTTGATCAGTTCCTATTGTTAAATAATTGTAAATAATTATACCCCCGCACAACAAAGTTGTAAGGGGGATATACTGGAATCAGCTTGTCCGTCCGTCCGTCCGGCCGTCCGTCGGTTTTTTCTTGTCCGCCCAATAACTTAAGTATCCTTTGACCCTTAGTCCTTATATTTGGCATGGAGGTTAGTCATGATTAGTAGATGACCCCTATTGATTTTGAGGTCACTAGGTCAAAGGTCAAGGTCACAGTGGCCTTGACTTTAAAAAGCTTGTCCGCCCAATAACTTAAGATTCCTTTGACCTACAGTCGTAATATTTGGCGTGGAGGTTAGTCTTGATTAGTAGATGACCCCTATTGATTTTGAGGTAACCAGGTCAAAGGTCAAGGTCAAAGGGGCCTTGACTTCAAAAAGCTTGTCCGCCCAATAACTTAAGATTCCTTTGACCCATAGTCTTCATATTTGGCATTGAGGTTAGTCATGATTAGTAGATGACCCCTATTGATTTTGAGGTCACCAGGTCAAAGGTCAAGGTCACAGGGGCCTTGACTTCAAAAAGCTTGTCCGCCCAATAACTTAAGATTCCTTTGACCCACAGTCTTCATATTTGGCATTGAGGTTAGTCATGATTAGTAGATGACCCCAATTGACTTTGAGGTCACCAGGTCAAAGGTCAAGGTCACAGGGGCCTTGACTTCAAAAAGCTTGTTTTCCCAATAACTTAAGATTCCCTTGACCCACAGTCTTCATATTTGGCATGGAGGCTAGTCATGATAAGTAGATGACCCCTATTGATTTTGAGGTCACCAGGTCAAAGGTCAAGGTCACAGGGGCCTTGACTTCAAAAAGCTTGTCCGCCCAATAACTTAAGATTCCTTTGACCCATAGTCTTCATACTTGGTATTGAGGTTAGTCATGATTAGTAGATGACCCCTATTGACTTTGAGTACGTACGTAATCAGACCAAACTTGTTGAACAATGTTCAAAATATATATAATGTTTATAATGGGAAGAATTTAATTTAAAAAAAAATAAATTTATGAAATATTAAAAAAAAAAAAAACGATTTACAGCAGCATCTATTTGTAGTCATTTACTAAAATAAACACTTGTGCAAGTATCTTTCTATAAATAGATAACACTGTTACAATTCACGTTACATGAACCACGGTTGTAAATAAAGCCGTTCTGGTAAACGTCATTCTTTATAGACTTTTACATATTTCACTTATTTCACAAGTTCTTTTCTTTTTATCGTTACCATAAACAGAAAATCAACAATATTACCATAACAAACAAATTGGTTACAACACCTCGAGCGATCTGAGGTAGAACAATATATATAATTATATAGGAATTTTGCCGGGACTGGGCGATGAATTCGAGCGAAGGGAGGTATTCAAGCGATCGGAGTTCGAGCGAACGAAGTTTTACTGTAGTAGAAACAGTTAATATAATAAATTAATTAATTTTATTGTGTTAAAATGTTTTAAATAAATTTTCAATTGTTCATTTCACAGAATGAAGTTGAAAGCATGTTGAGGGAACGTCTTCAGGAGACTCTTTTTAGAGTTATAGAGTTGCAGCCAGGAATCTTGTTTGACATCTTAAAACCTGCAGAGCGGCAGCCAGGCAGATACCACCCAGCACCAGGGAGTAGTGTACCAGATTGGTGCGTGTGTGTGGCAGATGCCGTCAAATGCCAACAGATATTGAAAAGAAATGCTACCAGAAGCAAAGGTGCATCTCTGAGCATGCAGTAAGTTAAATATGTCAAGACTTTTATTAATTAATTCATTGATACAGATTATAAAATATGTTTGAATTTTTCTCTTAATACCTTATAATAATAGAAATGCAGCACTGATATTCATGAGTGCATCTAAATATGATTTTATATCATTCATTCAACCTTTGAATTCTATTTTGACCATTGTGAGTAGAATATATTTAATTTTTTTTCACAGCTTTGAAGTACTTATCCTGGATGAAGGGGTTTTAGCCCTGGCTAGGTTATATAGGAGGGATGTATTTGTGTTCTAGGATAAAGCCGATACAAGGAAGGCTAATAGACACCAGGCCTATAGACAGTTTATTCTGTGGACACATGGAAGACTGTCTGCAGGTGACAGAAGAGTCATACTATCATGCTGTGTTTGGAAAATCAGAGACAAATTCCCTGACCCATTTGGTCAATATACGGGGTATGACCACTGACCAAACCCATAAAAGTAGCATTAAGTTTCACTATCTAATTGATAATACAGGGATTGTATCACTTGTTTCTGTTGATTTTTATTCCAGTTAATGAAGAATAATGTACTAATGAGCAATTTCATTCCAATACAAATACAGTGCAACCTCTGCTAAGCAACTTATCTTTTTACAACAAACAGTTATATTCCACTGAAAATAAGATTGCAGAGAATAAAATCCCTATCTCTGGTTGACATTAAGTAAAGCTTAAAAGTTCTTTGTAATTTTCATGCAGGTTTTATTGATCTATCATGTATAGTTTTTTAGATACATGCATTACGAGCAAAGCATATGTTATTCAATCATTCATGTATGGAAATTAAGCATTGGAAGACAATAGCACTAATTATTGGCGGGCTATGGGTTAAACATCTAGTGGGTCATAACAACCCGTCTCTATGGACTGTCATCACATGTCTTCATAACGATGCAGCTTTGTGAAAGGCAACCATTCTAATATATGAAGGTCAACCCGATTCGAAAAGAACAAGGAAGCAAGCTGCCAACCACCAGAAGAAAATGAAGATGTGTTCCCACAAGTTGGACTGGTATGAGCCTTTACCAGAGGCTTTGTGTACCAAATGGACAGTGGATCTTAAAGATCTTGCTTGCATTCAGGTTAAACATTGTTTGAAAGCAGGCAGTTTTGGAGAGGTTTGGCCTGTTCAGCTTCACCATTTTTCAGATGCTAGCTCTGTTGGCTCCTATATACATCTTATCAGTCAAGAAAATTAGATTCATTGCTCACTTTAATGGGAAGGTCAAGGGCTGTGCCTCAATACCTCCGTTGTAACTGTCTGCAGCACTAC